CCTGTATGATGTACAGGCGGACTACTTAAATTAGACACCAAAAGTGTATGTGTGGCTAGTATGTACTCTCTAATGTAAGGGGTCCCTAGAAAACCCTTCGCTATATATACTTGAATAAAAATCCTAGCTCCCAAGAGGGTAGACGTTAAAAAAATATATATATATATATATAAAGTTTGTATAAAATCAACTTCTATAGTTTGATTTGTTAAAACAAAGGCTAAAAAATATAAAAACACATCGATTTCTTACTTTACTCTATATAAATAAATTTGCATAAAATAATTATTGAAACAATGTATCCCTCAGATATTTCTCAACAATTTGAAATTTTCCTTAATGAGTAAATATAATACTATTATATTTTTACAGTTTTTATTTTTATTAATGTTTTTTTAATGCAGTATGTCTACGATTGCGGGGGTTTTAAGCTTTCTCGAAGATAAAAAAATAGTAATGTTCAAGGTTTTCAAAATGCTTCTTTCTTGTTAAAAGTTGAAAAATTTGAAGACCAAGACACACAAGCAAGAATATTTTTTTCTTGATAGTGATCTAGCAACAGAACTTTTTTCTATTCCTGATGAAATTGAAATTAAAGAAATTAATAAAACTAAAACTAGAAAAATTGATTTTTTTTTTAGAAGTAATTATTTTATGATCAATCATCCTAAAAAATATGAAGTTTATTACAAAGAAAAAAAAATTTATGTATTAATACCTGAACAAAAAAGATATACTATTCATATTTACAATAAGCCTGATAACGTTAAAATATATAAAATTGAAAAACGTATTAGAAAAGCAATTGAAACAATTATCAAATCAGAATAATAATTATGTAATCTTTAAATCTTCTTTTAATAATAAAGTTTGTATGAAATTACTTTTTATAGTTTAATTTGGTTAAACAAAAACAACAAAATAGAGTTTGTATAAAATTACCTTTTGTAGTTTAATTTAGTTAAGCAAAAAAACTTTCTCACAGTAATATAAAGTTTGCATGAAATTACCTTTTATGATTTAATTTGTTTTATAAAAAAATTAAAAAAATAAATATAAAAATATTGATTTTTGTTTTGCTCTATATAAATAAACCTGTATAAAAACAATAGAAAAAAAATGAAATTGTCAGAGATCTTTCAATGACTTAATGACTTTTTTAACAAGTAATATTAATAAATTTATTGGTTATGTTATAATATAATGAATTACTTAATATATTTTTTTTTTAACACAGTATGTCTAGAGGAAATAACATGACAAAAAGCCAACTCTTGGCTAAAATTAATGAATTAATGATAACATTTGAAGAACAAAAACAAGAAATAAAAGAAAATCATTCTAAAGAAATTAGTCTTTACCGAAAATTAATCAACACAAAGACAAATGAAATTACAAATTTAATATCTATAATTGAAAATTATAAAAAAGAAATTGAAAGAATCAATGAAATAAGAAGAAAATATGAATATAAATACAATAAAAGATTAAAAGAAAAAGATAAAATCCTTAAACATAAAAAAGAAATCCATAAACACGAAAAAGAAGAAAGAGAAAGAGTCTATAAATGTGAAACTGATATTTTAGGACAAACCATCAATCATTTAGAACAAACTATTAATGACTTACAAAACCAACTTAGTGAAAATGTTTCCTCCAGATACTAAAAATAGTAGTATTTTTTTCTTTTAGATTAGATCTAAAAAATCAATAAAATTTTATTAAAATAAATCAACAACAATCGAATTAAATAATCATAATATCACGAAATAAAATTGTTATATCACATATATATTGTTTTAAATTAATATAAATAAAATAAATTTTCAAACTTTTTTTTAATAAATCGTAAATTGTAAAAGATACACTGTTCATAATTATGATAAACCCAAAAGAACTTTCTCACATAAAATTTAATTTGTTTTGAATAAAGAAACTTCTACACAACTTTGCCAAAATTTGTATGAAATTCCTTTTATGGTTTAATTTGTTTTTAATAAAAAATTCAAAAACTGATTGGTATACAAATAAATATAAAAATATAAAACAACATCGATTTTACTTTGCTTCACATAAATAAAACCTGCATAAAAAACAATAGAAGTAAAAATAAAATTGTCAGAGATCTCTCAACGACTTAATAACTTTTTTAACAAGTAAATATTATTTATTTAAAATTTATTATGTTAATTTAATTAACTTTTTTATAACAATAGAATGTCTAGAAGAAACAATATAACAAAAAAACAACTTATCGAAAAAATTGATGAACTAATGACAACGTTTGAAAAACAAAAAAATGAAATGAAAGAAAACTATGAAAATGAAATCAGTCTTTACTAAGAATTAATCAATGCAAAAACAAATGAAATTACAAATTTGATATCTACAAAAACAATTGAAATTGCAAATTTAATGTCTTTATTGAAAAATATGAAAAAAAAATTTAAAGAATTGATGAAATGAGAAAAAAACACGAATATGAATATAATGAAAGATTGAAAGAAAAAGATAAAATTCATAAATGTGAAAAAGAAGAAAGAGAAAGAACTTATAAACGTGAAACTGATAATTTAGAACAAACCATCACTTGTTTAGAACAAACTATCAATTCCTTGCAAAATTAAATTGATGAGAATATTTTTTCTGGATACTAAAATAGTATTTTTTTTTTCTTTTAGAGTTAAATCTAAAAGTTTTTTTTTATATGTATTAAACTATTTTATAAAATAAATTATATTAAATAAACAACAACAAATGAAATAAAATTCATATAAGTTTGTATGAAATTACCTTTTATGGTTTAATTTGATTAAAATTGTCTAAAAAATAAACTTTGAAAATTCTTTTTATAGTTTAATTGTTAGAACATTCTCACAAAAAAAAAAAAAAATTTAGTTCTAGTTTATACAAAGAATTTCTAAATCAAATAAATAAATAAAAAAAATAAAAAAAAATACAAAATTTTTTTCAATTATATAAAAAAATAAGTTTTAATTTCGAAAATCTTGATATTAATATTGGTATCTATGAATCCTCTAGTATTGGTGCTGCCAGAGGTCCTGGAGTTTGCGATCATTATCTGACCAGAAAATCTATTAGATTTGTTGTTCACGATAGTACCCTGGCTAGATTTTCAGTTACCCAATTTGAATCAAATTTAATCTCACAATTAACAATAACCGAAAAATACATTTCTAAAAAAATAAAAAATTTGAAAAATCAAATAAAAGACCAAGAAAATATTTTTCAGGTATATAAAACAAATTTCAAATTTGATTAAAAAAAATGCAGTGTCCTTATATTTTTTGGGATGGAAAAAAACAAATGATAACTGGTATCTACTTTGCTCAAAACGTACGATGCACTACAACATTTGTTAGATTAGAAAGTGGTTATGTTTATATGACTAGTAGTGTTGTTGGACAAACAACTCCATGAACAAACTTTGAAATGGAAACAATTAATTCAAATGAAAATGAAATTGCAGAATTAAAAAAAGAAAATGATCAATTGAAACAAAAAATAATGAATTACAAAATAAGATTAAAGACTAAGAAAACATTTTTCAAGTAATATAATTTATAAATAATAATGATAAATAAATAAATTAATCATTTTTTTACTGTAGGAACTTAAAAAAATTGAAAAACAAGTAAAACAATGTCTAACCTCGTTACATGCCAAATACGATGAAAATGCTACATTGGATCAAAAAATGAATGAACTTGTTGAACTATATAAAGAATTTGGAACCGAATTGCCAAATTTTAGAAGCAAAAGAGTATTTTTACTTTTTTAATACAAAATCTTAATAATATTTACACTATTTTATATAACAAACAATATTTTTATTTATTTTAAAAAATATAGCAACTTTTTCAAACAAAAATGTTAAAAGTTAGAAGTGAAACCGAAAGCTCCTACGAAAAATGAAATCGAAACACAAAAAACTCGATCAATGTATGAATTACTTAGGAATCAAAGAATTAACTTTTGAACAAAAGTTGGATAAATTGCTTCGTGAATGTTTTATGAGAAGGCAAGAAAGAAAAAAACAAGAGGGAAAAGAAACGAGAGATTTTGATCCAAAATATTCTGATACTAACCTCGTAAAAATGCAAAAATGTTTATTTCATCTTGATGTTGATGGTGCTTACAATAATGATAATGAGAAATATAATTTAGAAAAAATTCTCGAAGAATGTAAAAAAATAGAAAAAATTTACTAAATTAGTACTTATTATAGAAAAATATATCTTATTGGTCTATTATTTTTTCAATAAATTATAAATAAACATAAATTTAAACATTATAAAATAAAAATGTCAACACCACAATCTGGAGTTTTAAATAGCTTAAAAGCGCTTAAAGAAGAAAATGAAAAGTTAAAAAAACAAATAAAAGACTATAACGATGAAAAAAAACCATTAAATGATAAAAACACTGAACTTATAAAAGAAGTTGAAGTGTTAAAACAGCAAATAAAAGACCATGAAAAAAAGGAAAATGAAAAGTTAAAACAGCAAGTAAACGATTGTAATGAAGAGAAAAAAATCTTACAAGACAAAAATAAAAATCTCGAAAATAAAAATAACAATCTTAAAGAAGAATTAAAAAAATGTAAAGAAAATAAACCAAACAAAAACCTCAAAAAAGAAAAATAAAGAACTGGCAAAACTATTAGATGAATCTAATCGAGAAAAACAAGACTCGAAAAATAAAAATACTGTGTTGAAACAAGAATTAGAAAAATGTGATACATTTTACACAAATCTAGATAAAAAAGTAAATATTATACTAGATAATTTTATTGTAAAATACAATAAAACTGATGATCTAGTATCTAAAATCGATAAGATCGGTGTGGTTAGTTTAGAAATTAAAAATATTTAATAAAATAGTATAAATAAATATATGGAGATACAAAAGGTTTGACGATCTTACTCTAAAAATCAACTATTTAAAAATAAATATTTTATATAAATAAAATAATATTTGTTTATGTAAAACAAATATCAACTTCCAGTGAAATAAACCGTATAATAAAAGAGTTAGAAACTCTAAGAATTAAAAATAAAACCCTTAACGACGAAAATATAAATTTACAAAATATCGATGAAACATATAAAAAATTAACTGAAGAAAACGGTTTAATAAATAATGAATTAACAGAAAAAAATGACCAACTTGTTATTCTTATATATAATATATTCTCTTACGAACCAATGAACAAAGGAATAACAAAAACATTAGAAAATTTGGATAAAAAAATCGATAACAGCTTAACTTTACTAAAAATTAACTTTACAAAATCTGATATAAATAAATTAGATAAAATTGTTTTAGCTAATGAAAACCTCAAAACAATTCAAAAATGATTTCTGCCTAATTGCAGCGAATTCAAAATGAAATAAACTGTTTAAGAAAGAAAATGAAAAACTAGATAATGAAAACAATCAAATATTAAAAAACAGTGAATATAATAAATTATTAAAAACAAACCAAGAACTACAAAAAGAAAATGAAATCGCTGTTTATCAAAACAAAAGATTAACCGAAAAAAAAGAACAGTTGGTGAAAGAATATTCGATACAGAAAAAAGAATATGAAGAAAAAAAGCTTTTTTTTTTAAGCTTGGATGAAAAATAAATATTATATTAGCTAATTTTAATTTTGATGTAATTTTTCCACTAGACGATACCGAAGAAAAAATAGAACAAATTGTTGAATTATGTGGCAAAATTACACAAATCGATCAAAATTAATTTTTTTTCTTTATTAATATATAAATAAAATAAATAAATTCTCTTTCTCAATAAAAATATCATTTAACTCCGGTGAACTAAATAGAATTCAACAAATTATAAACAATTTAAAAAAAGAAAAAACTATTCTAGAAAATAAAATTTCCGAATATAAAAATAATATTAAAGACAACGAACAAAACAAAAATATTAACCAAGAACTAAAAAATCTAGAATACGATTACAATTCTTTAAAAAGATCTCTAAAAAATAAATTGGAACAAATTGAAAAAGAAAAAGAAATCAATATCGAAGTACAAAAAACAATTGAAATATTAGATCAGAAAGCTGATATTGTGTTAAAAAATTTTAACAGAGTAATGGAATTTCCTACTTTGTTAAACAAATTATCTCTAATCAGAACAATTAGCAAAGATTATAAATAAATTTCTCATCAAAAAAAATCGAAGAACTTCAAGAACTCATTGATAAAATAAAAAATGAAAATAAACTCTTGTCAAAAGAAAAAGAAGAATATGAAAAAACAGAACTCGTTAATCAACAGATTATTAATAAAAATAAACATTTAAAAGAACAAGACTTTGAAAACAAAATATCGGAAATACTAGTAGATTTAGATGGCACAACAAGAGTACTTGGAAGTTTTATCAATAATAATAACCTTGAAAAATATGAAATACGCATAAATAAAATGTTAGATAATTTTAAAATAAGCTATAACAAAACAGATTCATTAGAAACTAAAATAGATCTTATCGTAAAATTTAGTAAAACAATCAATAACAATAATAATTTACAATAACATAATTTGTATTACTTTATAAATATAAATTTTTTTTTAAAACAAATATTTACTTTATTTAGATTTATTAAATGCGATAACCTGCATTTAATAAATCTAAATATAGTAATTGTATTAAACAAATTAATTATAAATAAAAGACTTTCAATTTTATAAGTAAATAAAAAATATAAAAAACAATAAACGTACGTATCTATGTCTTAAAATAAAAATAAAATAAAAAAAAAACTCTATTGTACTAAACGAAAAAAAAAAAAAATTATTACAAAGAAACAGATATGTCTAAAGCTGGCATTATCTCTTTAAAAAAATCTGCAGTAGAAAGTCGTAGAATCTTTAAAAACAATGACCCTATATTTAATAAGTCTAAATTTAGTAATTGTATAAAACAGATTAATTATAAAATAAGAAGAATTTTCGTTTATAATAATAAAAAAATATAAAACAACATAAAACAATAATAGTATATTTATATAGTCTTAAAATGAAAGTAAAATCGAATAAAAATCCTATTGTGCTAAAAAAGTCTATTATGATCTTGTGAAAAAAAGAAAAACAACAAAGAAAACAAAAATTTATTCTATTAATTCTCAAAAGAATTATAGTATTCATAATTTTAGAAAGACTAGTAAAATTTTAGAAGCCGAACGTGACAGCATCAAAAAAGAAACCAAAAGATTAAGTGTTGCAATTAATAGTATCACAGATTTAAACTTAAATGAATATGATGATAAAGACTCTGATGATGATATAAATATAAAAAAAAATAGTAATTTTTGAATGTATTTTCTTTAAATATTTTTTATTTTGAATAAATATTTATTAACATATTGATATAAACAAATAATAAAATAATAAAAAAAATCTTTATCTTCGTCTTCAGAAAATGTTTGTAATTTTTCAATTTCCTGTTAATTAAATAAATAAATCAATAAATATATAATTAAATATTAGTAATAATTGTAATTATACCGCTTCTAATTCTTTAATTTTATTTTCTAATTTCTTATTCATTTCTTTTAAGGTTTTATTTTGATTTTTTAATTCATCGTTTTCTTTTTTTAATTCTTTTTCTCCTTTCTTTAATTATATTATAAATATATAAATATTTTAAATTTCAATTAAACAAAAATAAAATAAATCAACATAACATACTTTCAACCAATCACAATAATTATTTATTGAAGACTGATAATGTTCAATGCGTCTAAATTCTAAAGACCAAATTTCATAATTTCCTAACTTAAAACTATTAATAGTTTTTTTTTATTTCATCTAAATTATGCCGTGTTCTACCCAATCTTAAAAAATTACTTAATTCATCATTTCCAAACTGTTTATTTTTCCAATAATCATTTCAACAAATTTGATGATATTGGGATGCTGCAGTTTGAACTTCATGTGAAATTGACCATCTTAATTCATAAATTTTTTCGAAATGTGGTAATTCTGCTAACAATATAGGATTTTTTTCAGTTGAAAAATTCATACTTGAATATTTAAAAAATATTTTAATCAACTATTTAAATGTTTTAGAAAAAAGTCTTATTTCACTTTTTTTTAATATTACTGCACCCTCAATAATAAATTGTTATAGTAAATCCTATAATAAAAATAAATACATTCGAAA